GTGTCGCGCTCAGCGGAGGTGGGGAATAGCGCAGCACCGCAAACTGCGTGCGCCCGCAGGGCCCAGCCCGGAAACCAGGCGCGCCCCACACGCAGACACAGGCAGACAATCAAAACACGCGCATGCAAGCAAGCAAGCCGGGGCAATCAACGCCACCGGGAAGCCAACCGCGGCCGTCCGCAGACTGCAGCCGCGCTCTCCGCATGCGCCGCCGCCGCGCCGCCCGCCGCCATGATGCCACGCCACGCCGCCGCTCTGCCGCCGCACGCCGCAGCTCCACTCCCCGCCCCCAGCCGTCCTCCAGCCGAGCCGCCGTTGACCAGCCTGCCGCGGGGCGCCGCGCGCGCGGCAGCGCCCCGCGGGTTACCCGGCGGCAGCGCAGCCGCTGGCAGCGGCTCCGCCCCGTCGCGACGGGGCCTGCAGGTCGAAGCGTCCACCTTTCCCGGCGCTGCGGCGCCCTGCACCGCAGCCCGTGGGCCACAGCCCCGCGGGCGCGGACCCTCCAACGGGGGGCCCGCGCGGGCAGGAGAGGGCGTCGCGGGCCTGCTCCCGCGGCGCATTCAGGTCGCGGGTGCTCCAGGACTCTCCTAGGGGCCGCTCGAGCCCGGGGGCCCGCCCCCGCGGACGCCCCCGCGGCTGAGCCGAGGGAGGTCGCGGGGGCGGGCTGCTGTGACGAGCGTGGCGCGGAGCCTACTTAAACGTAATTATATATGATAGCCAGCGCGCAGTCGAAAAGCCTGTTCGGCGTATATATCATAAGTACACATGCAAAACGTATGACAAATAAGCTCCCATGGTCTAGTTGGTAATGATGTCTGCCTAACACGCAGAAGGTCCCCAGTTCGAACCTGGGTGGGAGCATTTTGTTTCCTGCTACTGTCCCGCACCCCACCTTCTCTCCGTTGATGCCACCTTTTTTCAAAAGTGCGCGTATGAACGGGACTTGGGGGACGTGTAAACAAGCACCTCCCGCTCTCCACCGTCCCTCCTACCCACTTTGCGCTGGCAGCAGCTCCGCCGGCGCCCGCCACCGCCGCCGCGGCAAGCTCAGCTAGTTGCAGAGTCGGTGAACCCGTGTCAGGGGAGGTGAGCTCCGCGGGCGAGCTCCGAGTGCACTTGCTTTATTTGCCGCCACATGGTGCATCGCCGCGGCCGGCGGCAGCCGGGCGCGGCGGGGCACTGCAGCATCATGCTGGGCCATGATGGCCCATCCAGTGCGCGTGCAAGCGTGAGAGACGGCGGCTTTTGACTCCCCAACTTGCGGATTGCGGCAGGCAGTAGCTGTAGTAGTCTGCGCTCAAGCTCATGGGGCTGTTGCGATAGAACAAATTCGCGGCGCCGCCCGGTCTGCTGGTGCGGGAGGGTGTGCTGGAAAATGCGCGCGTGGGGGGGGGGGAGCGTACCAGGGGCAGCCGCTGGGCACCGGCAGCAGGTCGGGGCGGCGCTCCACTTCTATGACGCTGCGAAGGGGCCAGAGCGGCACCGCATGCGCATCGTTGACCGCAGGTGATCAGTGACAAGACTAAAAAGCCAGGTGTGGCGGGAGTAAAAACGGTGTTTTTTCTACTAGTCGGCCCTGTAAATGCATCGGCCCCCGCAGCGCCCCCTGGACTTCAAGTGAAGGCATTGGCAGTTGCCCAGGCTTGCCCTTGCCCCACTTGCCCTGGCCCCGCTGCTGTGGCAGGTTTGGGCAAAATGGGCAAGGGCAGTGCCCCATGCTTCCCAGGCCTGTTGCAAATCCAGGGGGATGTGGAGGCCAAGGAGGGTGCCAATGCTGGGCAAGCTTGGTGCAGCGAAATTTGAGGCCGGCGGCACCAGCGCTAAGCTGCGGCGGCAGAGCGGGTGCCGTTGGAAGACAGCAGTGCTGCAGTACACGGAGCTCATGGCCCTTGAAACAATTGTTTCAGAATTGAATTCTGGGGCCGGAGCGCAGACTACTATGCCACTGCCTGCCGCAATCCGCAAGTTGGGGAGTCAAAAGCCGCCGTCTCTCACGCTTGCACGCGCACTGGATGGGCCATCATGGCCCAGCATGATGCTGCAGTGCCCCGCCGCGCCCGG